ATCAATGTCCTTCTGTGTGGTTTGGTAACATCGGGACTGTGCCCTTTTCCTTTCCAACCTTGGGTTTGTCATCCTCAGCCAGCAGCTGCCTGAGTGAAGAAGGCCTTCTGCTTCAGGGGGCCAGGAGCAAGAGGTAGAGCTTGGGCAGAAGCCCAAGGCCGAGGGGCTTTCATCCAGCCCCTAGAGCCTAACACTTTGAAATCAGACCTCTATGCTTCAAAACTGTGATAGAATAAACTCTTGTTTATTAAAGCCATCCCATTTGTGGTATATTCCTGTCAGTGTGACACCAGGTAACAAAAACAGAATATGGTACAGAGAGAGTTGGGTGCTTCTCTGACAGATACCTAAAATGTGGAAACAAGAGCGGAGTGTGTCCTTGATTGGAGACAGCAGCAGAGAGTCAATAGCAGCAGAGCCAAGAGACCAGCATTAGACAGCAACAGGCTGGAGAAAGGTGGATCCCACTAGATAGGTGGCTTCCTGGTGGAGCCAGGCATTTGGGCATTAATTGGTAAAAGAGATGAACAGGAAATGGAGTAACAGGATTGCCGGCCCACAGAGCAAGAAAGCTGAGTGGATTTGGGCAGAAAGATCCCTGGTGGAGTGGTTTGCTTTCAGCATTAATCTGCAGAAGTGGGGAGACCAAGGAAATAGGAAGCAGAGCTGCCTCCAGTTTAAAGTCTAAGACCATGATTCTTGGGGGTGGAGCCACCGTAGCCTCCGAGGATTCAATGAATCAGACTTTCACCAACTTGGTTCTGGAGTGTGGGGCTGCTCACTCATGTGGGTCATTGGGATTTGGCCATAGCTGCTGCCCAAAAGTGAGGGGATAGGTCTGCCATGCCCAAAAGGTAGATGAATGGGGCCTGTTAGGACAAAGAATTAAGGTCGCAACTCAGAGGGACTAGGGAACTGGAGCCACCCAGTGAAGAAGATCTGAACAGGTGCTAAGTCTATAAGGGGTGGAATTGTGGTAGTTCATGGTATGTGTCAACTTGGCTTGTCCTGGTTTTGAGTGGCTGGACAGCTGGATGTAGTATTCCCCATGATGAGACTGGTAATCAACTCCATGGTGGAATCTACTGTGAGCAGCTGAGTGGCTGCCATTATATAAGGAGATTTAGGAATTTTGTTGTTATTGATTAAGTGTCGAGTCGTGTCCGATTCACAGCAGAACAAAATACTGCCTGGTCCCACTCCAGCTCCATGATCTTTGCCATACTTGAGCCCATTGTCCCAGCCACTGTGTCAATCCATCTCGTTGATGGCCTTCCCCTCTTTTGTTGACACTCCATCTTACCAAGCATAACATACTTCTTCAAGGAATGGTCCTTTCTTACAACACAACCAAAATAGGTGAAACAAAGTCTGGCCACTTTCACTTTCAAAGAGCATTCCGGCTGCACTTCCTCCAGGACAGATCTGTTCTTTTAGCAGTCCACAGTACTTTCAGCATTCTTTCCCAGCACCACAACACAAAAGCATCAGCACTTCTCCGTTCTTCTTTATTCACTGTCCAGCTTTCCCATGCATACGAGGCAATTGAAAATATCATGGCTTCTGTCAGTCACAACTTAGTCCTCAAGGAGCTATCCTTGCTTCTCAGCACTTGAAAGAGGTCCTTTGCAGCTGACTTGCCCAGTGCTATGTGTCCTCTGATGTTCTGACTGCTCCTTCCATAGGCATCGATTGTGGAACCAAGCAATGGAAAGTCTTTGACAACTTCAATCTTTTCTCCATTTATCATGATGCTGCTTATAGATCCAGTTGTGAGCATTTTTGTTTTCTTTATATTGAGATGTAATCCATACTGCAGAATGTAGTGTTCAATTTTCATCAGCAAGTGCCTCAAATCATCCTCACATTAAGCAAGCAAAGTTGTGTCATCAGCGTATCTCAGGTGGTTAA